CTATTGAACGAGTTTGAATTGAAAGCTGCAGGTAGAAGTGCTTCCCTGTGGCATGACGAGCACATCTCTCTCCCCACCCCCTCCAGCCTTTTCCAGGGCTTGCAGTGAGGCATCTCCCGCTGCGGGAGCGATAGGAGCTGTGGGTGGTGTGTCACAATCCAGTTTCCCAAGAGCTGTGGTGAATAACACCCAGATAGGATACTAGAGACCAGGAGACAGGAGTGCTGTGCTGCGGGTTGCCTCGCTGGGTGTCCTCCACATGCATTTGTAGTCTCTCCCCCTGTATGGTGCAGAGATGTTCCATTATTTAGGAGTGAGAAATTACCCATCTGCTGCACTATAGCTTTTTGTTCCTGTACAATAGACACCTTGTGTGGGGCTGTGGTGCCTGGTTACCCCCTGCGTCTGGAGAGCCAGGAGAGGCCGCGGAGGTGGAGACCTCGGCGTGGGAAGGAGCACGGGGTGTCCTGTGCTGGAGATCCTGCCCTGCTTTCCGGCACTGCCCGGTGTCTGCTTTGCACGCTTGCAGGAGATCACGGCCGAGCTGCTCTGCTCACGGCAGTGCTGAGAACGCAGAGCACACCTCACAGCCCAGGCACCTGCCTGGCTCCTCCCTCCTCTGCAGGGCAGGCTGTGCCTTGGCATCCTTCCTTCCAGCTCCCTGCACGGCACAGCGACCGAGCCCGTTTGTCACGGTGCTTCTGCCTGAGCAGAGGAACGTCCTCTGCGGTGCCCGACCTGAGGGCTGCAGCTCCCGGCGGAGGGGCCCAGCCTGGCCCTCGGGCTCTGCGGGACCTGCTGTGCTGTGGGCAGGGCAGGACCCACACACAGTGACATTTGCAGGTTGAGGTTGAACTTAAGCTCAGATTTCATGTGAATTTTTCCCCCCCAAAATCTATGTCTTGTATAAATTATCTCTTTCTTTGGCTCTTTCATCAACGAATTTGGCAAGAAGTGAAAACTTGCAGATTCCTGTGACATTTATAGTTGTAATTCTAATGCCCCTCGACCTGTGTGTCCGGAGCACCTGCTGGTACAGCTTCTCTTGGAGATGCTGAGCTGCTGCTTCTGCCTGCGATGGGCAGCGGAAGGAGTTGGCCTGTGCCCTGCTGTGCATGGGGGCACAGCCAGCCTCGTGCTTCAGCTCTCCCTTCTCCTGAGCACGTCTGACTCGGTCAATTAAAAAGCCATTTCCACTTGCCCTGTGCTGCTGGTCCTTTGCAGGACAGGGAGGCTGTGCAGGGAGGCCTCCAGTTAGTGAACTGCTTTGGAAGAGTTTCTTTTATTTTTGAGTACTGCGTGGTGACCTAGTTAATTGGGAGTAATTAATGCCTAAATATATTGGTTTAACTTAACAAAAGGCTGTCTGGAAGAAAAGGGAAGGGAAAGAAGGGCTCAGGATGAACCACCTCTTTACTAACACTTTAGAGTTATTAAAGGACATCTTCAGAGCTATTAGCAGAGAAGGTTTTAACTTGACTATTGTAATTTAGCTCCTGAGGCTTGAAACGAAGCAGCAGAAAGGGAACACTCTGGTGTTCTGTCAGAAAAGCACTTGACACCTAAGAGTCACGGGATGCCCTTGGAGAGGAAGGAGTGGGATGCACAGAGTTAGCGTGGATTTGGGTGATGATGTGGAGCTATAACCTGTATTTTCTGCCTCCTCCCCACTCTCAGGACCAAAAGTGAGCTCGGTGCTGATCCCTGGGCTCACCTGGTCGCCGGGGTGACTTGTGCCTGCAGGCTTTTCCCGGGAGTTAGGGCCTGGATCCGGCCAGACCTGCTCTGTAAGTGTGGCAGGACACAAGCTGCTGCGGTCCAGGGCTGCGCTAAAAATGGAAAAATTGCTTCATTTTGGGAAGGTGAGGAGGGCTGAGACCTGCAGGGCTGTGCTCAGAGCCTGCTGCGGTGCCGCCCGTGGTGAGCAGAGCTCGGCGTGCCCCTCGTGCGGCGCGGCCTGCAGTGTCCCGTGGCACAGGGCAGAGGGGTGGTGGGTGGTGTGGGGCGAGTCACGCCTGGCACTGAGGTCCCACAGACACAGATGTGCAGGCAGAAACCCTTAGGTGATAACCTCTCCCTCTGGGGGCCGACCGCTCGTGCCTGCCCCTGCAGCAGCTGAGGCTGTGCAGGTGGCACAGGGTAAATCTAAGAAAAGAGACCAATTTCGGCTCCACGAGGGTGTTTGCCCTTAATCCATCCCCTTTGCTCCTGAGCTCCCCCGATGCTGTGCCCATGGCAGGAGGTGAGCAGTGGGCTGTGCTGCTCCTGCGTGCCATCGGGCTGCAGACTGTTTGCCTCTGCGAGTGCCGAGTGCCGTTCCCCCCAGAGTGCTGCCCTCGAAGTGACCTGGGGTTTTGGGGCAGGGAGGAGGGAAGGGGAGGGATGGGCCAGCAGTGGTGGAGCGTGAGCATTGCCTATCTCCTGGGGTTGTCTGTGTCAAAGAACGTGAACTCAAGGCAGATTTGCTTTGTCATCCTGACTTTGGCTTTTGCCACTTTGAATTTCTCTTCAGGTTCTGGAATCTTCTCTTTAGTTCTCTAGTGGGAACCCACAGAGGGGCTCACCCCAGACACCCCCCATGGCACCACGAGCATGCGGTGGGAGTGGGGGGGTGGGATTGGGAATATCTGATCACAGACGGTGGCAAATCTGTTTTCCAGCCTGTGTTGTTCTTTGGTTAGGTTTTAACTCGGAGCTGCAGAGGTTGTTGTTGTTCCCAGTGGCAGAGCACGCACTGAAATCTGACCCTGGAGGGGAGCCTGGCCCCGGGCCTGTGGGCACTAATAGCCCACTACCTTCTGCAGCCTGTTAGCAGCTAAGCAAACAAGCACAGCTCGGGCTGCCTCGCAAAACCTGCGGCAGAGATCTGCCCCTCAGAACCCGTGTTTTTTCCTCTCGGTGTCAATTAAACGTCAGTGCAGCTGATTCCAGAGTCATCACTCACAAGATACTGTGGTGCGTCTGAAAATGTCGTTATGTGGTAGTGGATTAGGAAGAGAAAGAGCTGCATTGCTGCCTTTTGTGGCTCCTACAATACCTTTTGCCTTGGATTGCTGTACTACAGGAAGAAATCCTAGTGAAAACTAAGCTCCAGCTCATGGTGTTAGCTGGGTGAGCGAGCAGGAGTCTCTTGGCACGGCCCTGGCGCGAGTTATGTAAATCTTGTGCAGTGTATAAGCAACAGGCGGTTGGTGACGTAAAACTGAGCATTTGTCTCTGTTTATTGGCTGATGTGACACGCACCCTTCCTGCAGCGTTTGACTGAGCTGGCGGGATTAAATATAGCCCTGACACTCCTCAGGAGAAAACGCCTCGAGCTGCAGGATGGTTTCTGCTCTGAACCTCAGGGTCCTGCTGGCTCTGTGGGAACAAAGTCCGCGCGGGTGGCAAAGGTCTGGCGCCGCTGGGGTTGCTGAACTGCCGATCGATCCGTGGCCACGTTGTGCGGGACGTTCCTCCGGAGCCTCCTGGTGCTCCCCGGCACTACGGAGGATGTCGGGAGCTCCTGCAGCCGCGGTGGGTTCCCAAACCCACGTTTGGGTCCTCTCCCTCTGACCTCCCGCGGCTCTACCCCTGCTGTCACCCCTCTGACCCAGCCCCAGTGATCAGCTGCTGCACTTCGGACCCCCCGGGCTTGCTGGGAGGAGCGAGCACTGACACTGCTCCCATGCAGCTCGGATTTTATCCAGGGTGTCCAAGCTGAGTTTTTTCCCGTGAGCACTGTAGAAGTCGAGCAGGAGGCAGTTTCTCCACTCACCGTTTCAAGCCCCTTTCCAGCTGGCAAGCGGTCCCAGCAGCCCTGTGTTTGCTCTTTCTCAGGGTCACACTGCAAATGTTTCTCTTGCTTTCACCTTGGCTTTCTGGCTCTGGCCCAGGCGCGTGACATACAGACCCTCAGCGTGTCACTGTGCCCACACAGTGCAGCTTCCGCAGGGCTTTGGTTTAGGTGGTGGTTCCCAGTTCCTGAAGGTTTGGGTTGGTTTTTTTTATCCTGCCCAAAAAGCAGCACAGATTTCTGTAACCATGAATAAGAAGCAGTTGTTGTGCCCAGAGCGTTTGGGCAGATTTTACTCATCTCCATTCTCACAACACCCACTCACAACATGTAAATTGGGGCCACAACCTCTCAGACATGCATAAACAGAGGAATTACATGACTTGCCAAGCACTTACGTAATAACTTAATAGTATATCGTGGAACTGAGCTAAGGCTCACGAATCCTCTTCCTGCCTGACTCTTCCCTCTTCTCACATTAATTATCCTGAGCTGCAGCTACACCACGGCTCGGGAATCAATAGCATCTGTGGCTTTCTGAGTGTCCTTAATATATCACAGACTTGCACTGCCATTTGTCTTTGTTCCGTGAGAACTTTTGACTCAGGTGGTTTGTAAGTTCCTGTGAGTTGTGACTCCCCAGAGCTGAGCAGGCACTTCAGTGATGAGTAAGTAGTTCAGACCTGATGGTGTGTTTCAAAAGCAGCAAGGCTGGAGTTATTATCTGTAGCTACCAGTGCCCTTTGGCCCTGAGAGTTGTCAGAAGAGTTTTCTCCATGTTTTGTTCCTCTTGTGCTCCTTTTGGACCTTGTGTGCCAAAATAAGACAGAGGTTTGGTCTCTTTGAAATGAGCTCAGGAAACAAGGCTGGTGTGAGGGAGCTGCCCTGTGTTTGCCTCCCATGGCACAGCTCTTCCCTCAGTAGCAAGGTTCATACAGAGCTGATGGGCTGGAGGTCTCCAAGACTTGTAAATCCCAAGATCTCCAGTGAAAGCAGAGGCACAGTGGAGGAGTGGGATAAACCAGTGTCCCTGGCAAGGCAGGTGATGTATTTTGAGCTCTGTTTTCGTGGTGAATCCCCGTGTGACCGAGATAAAAGCTTTCAAAAACACAGAGCTGTTATAGTCTGGATGTTCGTGCTGAACTGTTCAGGATGACACGTGCCCCTGTGCAAGGGACCCGATCCACCTGTCTTTCAGGCTGTAATGTGCTTTTCTCCTTTCTAGGAATCTACAAGCTGCCATCGGAGCCTACTACGATTTCGAGAGCCCAAACATCAATGTCCCCTCCATGTCCTTTGTGGAAGACGTCACCATAGGAGAAGGAGAGTCCATCCCTCCTGATACTCAGTTTACAAAAACGTGGAGGATACAGAACACAGGTGAGCTCCCCTGCGAGGGTGGCACACACCTTTGGGGTGGGATGTGCGGCTCGGTCGGGTCACAGGTCTCGTTCCTCGCGCTGCCACACAAACAGACACCGGGAGACTTGTAGACAAACGAGGCATAGGGTCACATGGCACGTCCCCTGTGCTTTTCATACTCTTCTGGCAGAATTGTCCTTTCGTGTTCCAAGAGGATGCAGGGCTGGAGAGACCACATTCCAGTCTGAAATCAGTCAAAGCGGTGACTGGGATCCAGGAAGTGAGACAGGGCAAAGTGCATTCCCAGGGCTTGATCTGTAGGGATGCAGTCAGAGAGGAAATTGAGGTCCATGGATGCAGAGAAGTCCCCTGTCCTCGAATAGTGCACTGACAGGATATTGCATGAACGTTCGACCTGTGTCTAATTGACCTGTTTGCACCTGTGTGAGGTGTAAGGTCCTGAGTCATTCTGGCAGGTTCAGGTCTCAGTACTTCTGTGTGTGAATAGCTGCAGTGCTGGGGCTGTACGGACGTGGGCTGAATACCCAAATGTGGCAGAGGGTAAAACCACACTAGAAGTCTTAGTGTTTCGTCAGCACATGTTTAACAACACTGGTTTATGGAGCCTGTGCTGGACAAAGGGCTTCATCACTTCAGTTTGCTCTTTCTGCCTCCTTTTGTTTGACAGCACGGTGGAAGGGTGACATGTGGAACCTGCTTAAGCTGCAGTACTGTGAAAAATTTGCCATTCTTTTGTAACTGTCCCAAATGCAGGTCTAACAAACCTAGCAAGTGTGGCAGGTCTTGGTTCTGCCCTCTTAGTATTGCAGTTGTGTGTTATGAAAACACCCCTGTCCTGGGCCCTTCCGACTTCTCCCGTTCCTGTTCCTCTCAGGCTCCATGCAAATTCAGCCTTCATTTAACATCCTAGTTCAAGCCACGTTTCCTTGTTCTTGGAACGTTTGTCCTTCCGGAATCCAGGAGCCTTCTAAGAGCAGGGATAGGAGCTCACCCTGACTTGGGACCCCCTGGCAAGGCCAGCACTCGTTTGGTTCCTGTGCTGGTTCAGGCCTGGCTGGTTGAACCATGTGTGTGTGCCCTGGTCGGAGTGCACGGCTCGCTGAAGCTGCAGCGCCTGACACCCCTCGTATGGTCTCACTGAGGGCTGATATCCTAGGACTGGAGTGTTCCCGGGTAATAACTTCTTGTTGGGCAGATAACTGAAGCAGCACCCAGGTTTTTAGCAGCTCTACAGGAGCCCTTCAGTTCTAGAACATGAACTGCCTGGAGCGTGTGTGGCTGGAAGGCGTGTGAGCTGTGAGCTCGGCCCAGCCAGGGTCCCTGCGTACCAGAGAAAACCAGTGCTCTGCTGTGGTGCCTGCAGGACGGCGCTCCCCGTCTGCCAAAGGAGCGGTTTGTGCCGTGGAGCGACGCGGAAGGAGCAGCGGGACTGAGCAGCCTGCCTTCCTCTCCCACTCTGCCCCCAGCTGCTGCTGGCTCGGCAGGACACTCACTACAATTCGTCATCTCCTGAGAGATGAGCGTACTGAAATAGAATGACATAATCATAATTTCACTTTATGGGGCTTATCAGCCGCAGCGTTGCAGGCACCTTGCAAGCCCAAAGCCATTAAAGCCGATAAAATCACATCCATTATTTACGCCAGGCCGTGTTGCTGGGCTGCCAGCCTGTGCAGATGAGGCTTGTGCTCAGGGCCCCCGCGCCCCAGCCGAGGTCAGCCAGACACACGGCTCCTCTTTCAGAGCTGCCCTGCTGCGTCCCCCACCCGCGCGTCCCACCGTGCTCCTGCGCGTCCTCCTCTCCCCGTGAGGTCCTGAATTCCACAGGACCTGACAAGAAGACCAGTCCCTGCTGTGGCCTCGCTCAAGTATCCACAGGGATTAAATTAGCAGGCAGGCTGTTGCAGAGGATGCTCCTTGGGGTGACCTGAGGTCAGAGCGGCGCCCGCCGCGCGCGCTCGGACCAGACGGAGTGGTTCCAGTCTTCCTGGTGGCTCAGGCTTTCCGTGGCCATTTCCGTTGGCCTCAGCAGAGCAGGAGGTGCTCTCAGTCCTTGGCTTAGTCACGTCACGTGGCTGGGGAAGAAGCAGGAGAAAATTCTGCTAAACTGATTTTTCACAAGCCTCAGAAGTACTTTTTCTCCCTGCCTGCCCCAGCACTAGTTGCACTTCTTCTCCCTGCCTGCCCCAGCACTAGTTGTCTTTGGCGGCAGCGGCTGTGCCTGCACCCAGGGACTGTTAGTGTCTCTGATTGCCAGGTCACGCTGTCAGTCCCATGGCTGCAGTCTAAACACTGGGCTCCACCAAAACTCTGTGTTCACAGCCTTTGCACAAGGCTGAGGAGAGGGTAAATCCTTTTAGGAACTGGTGCTGGTTCTTCAGGTACAGCTCACACTAAGAGTTCCTCCGGAGACTAACAGGCTTAGCAAGGAATGAATCCCTGAGAGGAGATGTTGGCAGCACTTTGTTATCAGTAACAGGTCTTTGGTGTCCCATGGCTCAGGAGCCATGTGAAGGGAGGCAGAAATGGGGCACATACCCCACCTGGCCCTGCCCTCATCTCTGGCCCTGGGGAGGGGAAATCGTGTTGGATGTGTGGATTTTTTTTTGCAGCTCTTACACTGTGACTTTGAGAGCTTTTCTGTGTAATGAAGACCTAGAGATTATTCAAACAGAAATATCAGTTGTCCTGCTGGTCTCTAAATGCACCAGTTAAGCCTGCTCTGAAAACTGTATTTATTCTCCCTCGGCATCCACTGCTGGCTGTGTGCTGTGTGTCTCGGTTTCCTTTGGCTGCCCAGCAGTCACACAGCTGTTGTGCCCAGCGTGCTCCATCCAGAGCTTTTCCTGGTGCCCTGTCAGCAGCTCCTCTCCTGTCTCTCCCAGGGACGGAAGCGTGGCCCCCGGGGGTCTGCCTCAAGTATGTCGGGGGAGACCAGTTTGGGCACGTGAACATGGTGATGGTGAGGTCCCTGGAGCCGCAGGAGATGGCCGACGTCAGCGTCCAGATGTGCAGCCCCAGCACGGCCGGGATGTACCAGGGACAGTGGCGGATGTGCACTGCCACCGGGCTCTACTACGGAGGTGAGTGCAGAGGTCTGCCAGCCCAGGCCTAAGGATAGAGCGTGGAATGCAGGAAAACACCAGGGCAGCTGCTTTGTTGTCTTGGTCAGCACTGAACTGTTTCCTAAACACTGGAGCAACCTACAGGTTACACAGAACTCTGGGAAACAAAGGGACTTACACAGCTGTCCTGGAGATTCTTTCCCTGTCGGTCCTTGTTGGGATTCTTTTCCAGTTTTCCACTACTGAGCATTGTGAAGCACATATGAGTGTGAAATCTGTTTGTGGTGGGAGCCTCATCTGAGCAGTTCCTGCCCAGGTTCCACTGCAGTGATTTGGTGCCTCTCCCGTGAGCCATTTCTCTGTTTAAAGAACACATTCTGCTGTTTTGCCTGGTGCCTCAGCCCGGGCCTGCAATATCTGCCTTCAGCGCAGCCTTCCAGCCCTTTTCCGCCAGCTTTCGTTACGCTGAGAACATCTTTGTGTCTCTGCCGGAAAAAAAAAGGAGACCATGCTGCAGGGTTGGAGCGAGAGGTGCTGGCACTCGGACCCAAACCCGCGGGTGCCCTGGAGCAGCTCTCA